AAAGTTTTTCTTCATTACCCATTCAAGCCGTCTCCAACCATTATTAGTCTCAAAGTGGGTTCCTCATCATCGAATTTACTTTCATACTGCTCTTTCAGCAATTGGACTAAAAAAGCAGTTCCTAATACTTCAAAAACGTTGTTTATAATGAAATTGAAAAACAATAAACGAAAAACCGAGATTATGCTTATTCATTATTTTGTTTTGTTACTAATGTATTTAATTTTGATCATTTATGGTTTTTTCACATAGTGGCAAAGGTGGCAAAAAGAACTCAAAAAATATAATATTACAGTCTGATAGGAGAGCCAAAAAACCTTGTCGATAATATTTGGACAGTTGCTCAAGGGCGACCTCAAGAGTCCAGAAATCCCATATTTATTCAAGAATTAAAATATGCTGGTAGGTTTGAAGTTTGGTGTCTTTTTAATACTGACATGTATCATATCTACTCTATTATACGTTGAAAAAATCGTATTTTGTTTAGACTTTTTACAGTGCTTTCCGTATCACTGTGAAGCCAAATACGGCGTAAAAAAAGGAAAATATAAATAATCAAATTGATATGTATACGGTTGAGTACATTGTATTAAAACGGTTTTGGAGCTTGACCATTCCATGTCGTCAATGACCAGTGATGCTCTATCTGACGACCATGACATTCTTGAATCTTGACTACAGCCATGTAGTTTTGCCATAAAAAAAGGACACATTGTAAAATTGTCATGTCTAAAGCACACCGCTCCTTTCGATGGGCTTCCTATAATCCACCTAATGTACGAGGACGACGGTCACACAGCGTCCGTTTCACCAATTCGATCGCAGAAATATCTACAGGCGATTTGACCAGTATGTCGTCATATGGAATAACATGAATACTTGTTTCATTCTCCAGCTGCTTGCATTATGAAATGGTTGAATAAGAGTTATTACTGGAAGCCTTACCTTAGGAAAGTCATAATATCTTGTTGGGCCTGTTTCCCCACAAAATCGGTATTTCCAGAACATTGATATCATAGTAGGCAGAGATCACCTTGATCATTGTATCCACTGTCCTAATCCAAATCTTGCCCCTGGTACAACGATAATCCTGAATTCCTTCTAAAAAAGTTTTGGAACATGTCAAGTACCGTTTTTGGAATTTATTTTCCACACATTGACCAATCGAAAATGTCGTGAGACTTGTTACAGTTATCAAAGTACATACACGATTCGTCGAGCGTTATCACATACTGCCATTTTCTCCCTGGCTAGATATCATTCGTAAATAATTCTACAATTGGTTTTCCTTTCCTGGATATATCATGGAAGCAGCTTGTGCACTTGTGACTTGTGTCGCTTTTTCAGAAGGTGATTATTCTTGATAAGGGAACGTACATTTACCTAGGATACGTGGACGCTTTTGCCACTGATCTTTATGTTTTCATCTAGATGTTATAGTATAATAACGTACATTTTTCTTACACGTCTGAGGTACTACCTATTGTGGGCCTTTTTCTGGAATGGTTCTGGATTCCCAACTTGACCCATATTCCTTTGTTTTTCAATGCCACAAAGTAGAGAGGATATTCCCATCTTGGAAATTTTAAATCACCGATGTGAACGCATCTTTATGATCTGAATGTATGAATACGTTGTGTCGGAATGGACTGTTATATGTCCTTCTCACAAGTGGAATATTTGGTACCATAAAACTACCTATAAAAGCTAAAGGATATCAAAGTGTAGTTCTGATACATGCCGTTCAACTGCGACTTTAAAGCTGCCGTGATTGTCAAGTGATTTGCTAATTTACATATTTAAAATCGTTTTAATATGACGTATTCAGCCCTCTGTACTTACTATAAATTATTCCTGACGTAGATGATTATTTTATAGTATCTTACGTCGTTTTTCACTGATGATTAATAATAAAATATAATTTTTGATTAAATGTTTTCTAATAACTATTTCGAGTGTGCTTATACCCCTATATGTAACATATTCTGTAATACACTAGCTCATGTTACAGAAGTGAGACATTGTTTCTTGTAACAAAATGATAAGAATCGTGTAATGTAATTTGAATAAGTCTAAATCTGCATAGGTATGACCCAATACCGAAATAATAATTATCAAATTATAATTTTACAGACAGTGTGTTATTGGGCTATAAGATATATGCTTCTTGGAAATACAACGTAAATTAGGTTACCTAGTATGTCACAGTACTGCTATACATTGTTACATTACTAATACTGCAGTATCTACCTCATGTGATCTTATAAGATTATATTCATACATAGGTCAAACGTATACTTCATTCTTTTTGTTTTCTGTAAAAACAAATCTTATCGTCCAATAGTGGATCATTAACAATTTAATGAATTACAGGGAAAAGCTGGGAGACCAAGATGGCGGATCTCCAAGAGGCACTAAAGGTTAAAGGTGCCAATGGAACAATTGTAACAGCTTTAGATGATATAGCATGTATGTATAATGTAATGTTGTCGTAATATAATTTATCTAAGTTCTGAAAAGGAAACCAACATATTAATCCGCATTTCGTATATGAGTTTACTGTCAGAACAGTAAATTATGCACAGTTCAATATAGTTCTTTAATCATGTTATTTATGTTAATTCTGGCAAACTACAATCTAGTTGCCAAAAAATCTCGCTCAGAACTTTAGGGTTATAGGCACGTTATAAGAGTGACTGACAAATCCAACTATTTGATTAGAATAGCAAAATCATGAATTTGCTTTTGTAATAATGAAAAGTATTGTTAATATTGTTTTCGCATATACTGTATAATATTAAACCAACAGTTATGTTACATTATTATTATTATTTAATTACTTTAATTGTCTTATTTATCATTATTGTAATTTCCTTTTTAAATTTTAAATTTTATTATTACGAAACTTTTTCTAATCTTATTACGTTTACTTTTCGGCTGTTATAGATTTAAATTTACTTATTATCTTCCTGTTACCCGCTCCATGTATTTTGTTACGTGATAGAGATTAGTTAAAGTCAAACTAGTTATGTCAGATACTTTTTATAGTATGTTTAGTATCCTGTTTTTTAATTACGTTTAACATGGTTTATTACAGTACCAATACTTTAGCTCTTTATTGTACCAATTCAGATATTCATTGAATCTCATATTTATTATTTTGTATTTTCATAAACGTCAGTTTTGGACTCTACTATTGGCACTGTCCTGCTACTTGACTCTACATTTACACGATAGCATATTCTGTAGCAATTTATCTCAGCTGTTAAGCTCTCGGAGCCGTTTAATAGGTATCTATCAGCAGTAATAAGACATTTTGAGGGGGGTATTAAAAGTTCTGCTTATACGCAATCATACTGATGTTACAAGCACTTTCTACACTTTTAGGGCTGTTCAACCTTCGAGGTAGTGACATTCCTCACAACCCATTCTTCAAAGCCTATGCGTTTATTTCACCAGAACAAAGCCGGTGAGTGGGGCTAACTTACCTACATTTTTTTTAGCGGTAATGTATATAAGATATACATATATATATGTGTGTGTGTGTGTATTTCCCCGGAATTCAGAAGAAACTGTGTTCAGAAATGGTTTTTGTAACTTGTATGTGTATCAAGTCTGAAAAGATGCATAATTTTCCACCATCCTATCCATGTACAGAGTGACCCAAAAGACCGTTGCCATAGGCTAAATATACACTTTTACAGAATATGCTAAAAATATCTGCCTTCTAAATGGAAACATTACTGAAGACGTTCTGTCTAGAGCATCTTCACATGTTCATCAATACTCAGTGCCATTATCTACATCTGCAAAGAAAGAAAATGGTAATTTCCTCAATGTTACCATGATAAACGAATTATGGGACACCCTGTACGTTGGTTCAATGTACTATCTTGTTTGTATTTTTGCATAATTTTAAAATTAACCTCTACCGCAATGAAAAAAAAAACAAAATGACACATTTTAATTTAATTCTCATAATATGAAAATTAATTTTAAAAGGTCAATCGCTTTTATTTGTTTACATTTTGCCTCCCAGGGCATAGCGGTATGTCTGCGGACTTACAACGCTAGAATCCGGGTTTCGATACCCGTGGTGGGCAGAGCACAGATAGCTCATTGTGTAGCATTGCGCATAACTACAAACAAACAATTGTTTATATTTTAGTAAAAAATCTGTTTGGCTCTTATATTTTTGCAAAGATTTCTAACAGTCATTTACAATTTGGAAGAAATTCAGTCGTATGTTTTTTATGTCAGGTTGTATGTTAGAAAAGATATAATAACACCAGAAGTAAGAAAACACCTCAAACTTCAAGACTTCGACGAGAAAAACCACGTATATGTAAGTATGAAATTAACGTTTTAACATTTATCATACATTAAATTTACATAATACACTTAAGTTGTTTATTTTATCATAAAAAGATATATGCATATTTTGTCAATAATATATACCTTGGGTGTTTAATTTCATTTTGTGAATTTTGCATATAATGATGCCTTTCATTTGTAGCAGTTTACTATACTATGATAGTCTACCTGTCTTTTACTCTCTGCCAAAGAATTTCTGCAGCCAAGTAAAATTGTCTTGCCATTAGTACATAAAGTCATATAAGGTTCACTTTGTTTTTCAAATAACGATAATGTGTTAATGTCAGAAGATTAGATTGCATCCAATGTGTACGGTTAACCCTTCGATAACAAATTAATTAACATAACGTATTTTAACTGAAAACAAGCAAAAGTTTTTTTACAACAAAGCAGTTGTATGTTTGGAGAGCTGTAACTGGTCACTAAGTAAATAGTGTCACTTTAACAAGTACAGCAAGAACTACAGTTGTGCGATTTCGGTTTTCCATTTTTTATCCATTTAATTCCTTTTTTATTAAACATTTCTCTCATTTCCACACATTTCGTTTTAAAATGTTAATCATGAAGAATAAAATAATGCTTTATAGTGTTAATCTTAATTAAGTTATAAATATTTCATAAGAATTATATCCTTTTCTTATGACTAAACCAAATCGCAGTTTTCACTGCTGAGAAATTTCATACTATAAGGTCATACATGCAACAAATGTTCCGAAAATATTCAAGATTGAGAAATACAAAATACTTGTTCTTTATTACAATGCCTGGCATGGCTTAATGGTTAAGGCGTTTGATTTGCAATTATGGGTCATGTGTTTGAATCTCATTATCAAACATGCCTGCCCTTTCAGCTGTGGAGGCGTTATAATGTGACAGTCAATCCCATTCTTTGATTAAAATAGCCCAATAGTAGGCGGTGGGTAGTGTTGAATAGCTGCTTTCACTCTAGTCTATCACTTCTAAATTAGGGACGGCTAGCGTGGATAACTCTCGAGATTCAACAAACAAAAACAAACTATATTACAATGCACTGAAACATTCTGTTATCATCCTAAATTGTGTTAGCTCACAAGAAAGAAGAGCTTGAGTCAATACACTGCGTTCAGAGATTTATTGTACTTACATGATAGCATGTTTGTGGTTACTATTCATGTATTTCTTTGTACTTGGTGTTTCTACATTTTTAGCCTCGGCATAGTGGCTCATAGAGTGGCTCTGAGTTTTTCAAGTACAAACTTTTAGCTCATAGTTCCGTCATCTCTTGACCGATTTGAGATCTAATTACAGTTTTGGACTCAGAAGGTTAAACCCTTTCGACTGATGTATTAACTATGCCCAAGGTCTCATAAGTTAACTTACTCTAATCTTGCCTAAAATAATTGAAATTACCTCAGCTATTAAGGATTCAATCTTGTTTCGTGTATTCCTAACACACAGCTAGAAACTAATAAAATTGCTAAATCCCCCTTATTTAATTTGGTTTAATAACTTTATATCGTTCATCTGTTTTATTAATTTTTTCAAAAATTGCTCAAGATATCATAATATTTTTATTGCGTTTAGATCATAATGCTTCATAATCCCAAATTTTAATTTGTTCATTGTGGCTCCAAATATGTCTGAAATGCTAATTTTTACACACCTCTAATTTTCAGCAAAAATGGATAACGAAATAGAACTGTCGAAAAAAAAACATATGCAGATAATTTGTGTTTTTATAACAATTTTGAGACCTATTGGTTTTCTAGTATTTCATGGCTTTTGGCGTTTAAACCGTAATATATAACAGCATTGACTTTCCTTTGGAGTTTTAGTTTAAATAAAAGGTTTTAGTAAATAGTTTGATTAAATTTTGATTTTTGGATTATACAAGACGTAATAAATATTATATTACATAATATTTATAAATATAAGACAGGTTTTGACTTTTTGGTGTTTTCAACGGCACTTTATGCGAAACATAGGCTAAATGGCCAGATTAGAGACCTTAAGAACAGGCATAGTCATTACTGATTCATAGACCAGAAGAAGGGGAACTAGTCAGTAACACCCGCCGCTCCCACTACTGAAAATGTCTGACGTGTTCATCGGTATGTCGCGACTCAGACGCTGGACCTTCTGATCGTAGTTCAGCATCTTAACCATTAGGACGCCCAGTTCATGTAATGATATGCAAGTCACGCCTTTATACCTATTAGGTTATTATTAATGTCCTTCTTGTTGATCCACAGCGTTGAGCAAGAATAACATTATCACGCACTTTATATAATCACTGTTTTTCATGTGAGCTGAAACATTTGGGACAGTATCAATTTCAGATACTGTGAAGTCTGCCAAACAAAATACAGGGCTAGTACGAGATAAGTTCTTAGATAAACGTGTAGGAGGTAGGCGAGCCATACAACCTACATCTTTGGCAGTTTGTAAACAACGGTATATAAAAACATAGGTGGAACATAATTATGAAAAAAACAACAACAGAAAAAAACAACCGTAGATGGAGCTGCAAGTTGACATGGAACCATATTTGCTTATCACGTCACGTCATTAGCATATTGCAGCTAATAGTATGAGTATGACGTCAGAACTTATTCATTTGCTCACCAACTATCATGATTATTATAAATAACTCTTACTAACACTTGAACACAATGTAATATTTGTTGTTCCACGACACACGACACTAAATATATGTTTTGCTGTTTTTTTTCCCACAGCCTTGTGTTTCATCTGAAAACTATTAATAACCTTCATAGATCAGAACTAAACTTTAATCTAGTAAATACAGCTAGTTTGATATACTAGTATTATATAGTGTCATAAAAAAATCATAATTATTAGAATGCACTAGTCTCAATGATATCTCATATGGCTAGGCCAACTTAAGAGATTTAGATTAGTTCATAAGTCAAGATAGCAATGTAAAGTAATCCTCATAAATAAATAATATACATACTTGATGAACGAAAAAGAAACAGTATAAAATATATGCAGATATTTAAAATATGAATGCACAGTACAATGAATATTATTTCTTCATTTATCACAATAAAGTTTTATACACACAATATCACCATTACTAAACGTGTATCCCTATATATTTTAGGCAGAATTATTGCGGTAATAATAATTATTATTATTATTATGTGGCCTCATAATTAGCGTTACAGAAAGTCCAAGATTCGTGTCGCGATTTTGCTTTATAGGCTCTGCACTTTTAGCTGAGGGTGCGTGATAAATGTGACGTTATTCGACTCAAAAACCGATAAATCTTTTGTGACGGAAGGGTGGCTGCTGGGTGGCTGTCTTCCTTCTTGTCAAAAGTTCAAAATCATAACTAGCTGTTTCTGAACCTTATGGAATCCCAACCGGCCCGGTTAGCCTATGCGCTCAATAAGGTGCCTCTCAGTTTGAATGTACGGATACCAGAATGATCATATAAAACATCTCCAGTGTTTAGGATGTTGGTAAATTTCTACTTAGCATTTGAATTTGACATTCTTTTAACCATTACACTAAACATCTAAAGTGTTTTGACATATTAACGTAATAGTTGTGTGTTTTTAAATTATATATTTCTATAACTGATGCAGTAATATCTTCTATTATGATAATATTCATGTTGTGTCTGTCATGAAAATGCGCGCGCACCTTACTATCTAAATGCGCATGCGCTCAAACTATATTTTAACGAATATTTAGTATACGTTTGGTACAACAAACTATTAAAAGCTTTTCAAATTAAAAACAAAATCAAACGTTAGGTCGTAAAATAACATTATAAGTGTATTTATTGATAGTATTAAGTATGGTAAAGTTTAGCCCTAACTAAACTCAAGCAAAAAAACGTATACAAGTTACAGTGTTATCTCTTTACCGAATATAGGCATTAGGTACTTAATAAGAGACTTAACTAACGTTAGGCCTAAGACAAATTGACTTATAGATTTTCTGTGTCTGCGATTAGAATTATTTTGTATTATTCTAGGAATCCTGCATTTAAAAAGGTACTGTTGCAATACAGATACTAATTCGGCCGTAAATGTTTTGCGAACCTCTGTTAGTATCACTTTAAAATTTACATTTTATATCCACTTATAAATCCTTTTTATGAGCGTACAACCGTTTAAAGATATCTTAAAAATCAGAAGTTGTAATTCATGTACATATTCCAGAATACAGTCATGTTACTGATTTGGTTTCCCGTTTAGATCGAAGAGTACGACCGTCTGGTCAGTGACATTCCTAACGTTTTAGAAAAATGCGATAAGATTCTAATTTCTCCAAAATCCAGTTACTATGTTCACAGTATCGTACCTCAGGTAAGTAAGATAATGCTACGCAAAAGCTACTTTGGTTTTGTTTTAAATGGATGTGACTTAACAATATAGAAAATATAGAAACATTTCGATTACTATGTACGCAAGCTTATTGTTTTCGCTATATTTTTATTGTTCATGTTAAGTCATTGTTTATGTTATTCAGATATATATGAAACTAACAATATATATATATGTGTGCATTGCTCCCCAGTGGCACAGCGGTATATCTGCTGACTTACAACGCTAGAAACAATATATATATATATATATACATACACTAAAAAATATTAAAATTTGCATCGGAATTGCTGTTGAGCGCTGGATGAGCGCCTATGGAGCATATAAAATTAAATAAAGTTCATACCATTAGTTCTTAAATCGCCGTTTTGCTCTTAAACATATTTTGGGTGAATTCTCTAACCTATATCATAGACAGTTTAGCAAATTTGGGTGTGAAATAAAATGTACATATGTATGTAAATAGTACACTTTCAAAGATCTCAGTTAAAGTACACTTTCAAAGATCTCAGTTAAAATACACTTTCAAAGATCTCAGTTAAAGTACACTTTCAAAAGTGAAAAGTAAAGAAATTACTTGACTAGAAAATAACAGCTACACTTTCTCTCAAAAATGTAAAATAATGTTAATATTTAAACGAAGCATAAAAGTATTTTTATTTGTTTGAAATTAAGCACAAAGCAACACAATGGGCTGTCTGTGCTCTGCCCACTATGGGTATCGAAACCCGGTTTCTAGCGATGTAAGTCAGCAGATATAACGCTGTGCCATTTGGGGCGCGTAAAAGTAAATATAGCAAGAAATTATATTAAAATCAACCTCAAAATTACCATTATTATATAAAAGAAGACCAAATATCTCCAATCAATTTAATCCTTAAAACTTTATAAATAAGAGACATTTTCTTTTCTGTAACAATACAAGATTTAAAATGACAAAACATAGAATCGTAGCGACAAATAAAAATATTTATAGGTCTAAATAAATAATATAAAAAATTAAATTGTATAAAACTGAAGTTTTACATCAAAAATAGGTTATGCACATGTAATAACTTTTTACCTTAACCTTAATGTATTTGAAGATTATCTCGTAATGTTCTTTATATAATTGAATAATTTAGTCCTAAGTAATTCTACCAAATAAACAGAGACCCGTATAACAATCTATTTTGGCTGCTTTCACAAGTCCAGAAAAGAAGTCCCCTGTGGCTCAATGGTAGATATGAGGGCTTGTAACAAAGTCCCCTGTGGCTCAATGGTAGGTATGAGGGCTTATAACAAAGTCCCCTGTGGCTCAATGGTAGGTATGAGGGCTTATAACATTAACGATCGGTTTTGTGTACTAGCAGTAGACAGGGCACAGATAACCCATTGTATAGCTTTGTGCTTTACAATAAACAAACCACTGCTGCTTTTGTTCGTGCTTATTTATTAACTGGAACTTAATTATTCCCATTAACAATGGCATTTCAATTATATCTACAGACTTCGTAGTTCTATTTAAAAAACAAAACAAACTAATTCTTGCACAGTTGTTATTTCAACGCCATCAGTTTTTTTACGAATTCTTTCATGGTGTTTATGTTAGCTCAACAGTATTTTTTATGTTATATTTCACATCTGTTTGAGTACGTTTGGGGGAGAATAGGGGAGTCTAGGTATAATTTGATCACAGAATAAGTTGGGAGAATAAATCAGTGATGTATGGTCACACAATATCCTTTCTGGCAGGCAACACTAATGAATCTTGATTAATTTTTTTTATTTGCGTATTTTACTACTGAATGCAGTATCCACTAATTCAAACTACCATTTAAGCCACTAGTTTTCGTGCGACAAACCCAGGACTGATACATTGTTTTTATTCATTTACAGTCGCCTCTCATAATACAGTTTTCAAAGATGCTCATTCGTTATCTAACACAAAAAGTAAGATGCTTAAACCACCGCACGTATTGAATTATATATATTATTAGGCCTTTGAAGTTAATACTTTTAATTATTTAGAAAAAAAAATCTAAACGAATGCCAAATCCTTTACTTTTGTGTTGCTCACCAATGACTTGAAAATATAAATATGTCAATATTAATCACCTCTATAGTGAAAGATACGTACATTTGCTCTGTCTCTCCATTATCACCATATTGCACAAATACCTATTTTGCATTGTAAAACATTCTATTAAACATATCACTGAATGGCATTGAATAACTTTGGTATTGTTATTGTAACCGTTTATTCTTTTAGATACAACATAGTGACTGCTATATAGTGTTTTTCCTTAGTTTCAGTTTGGCATAATTTGGTTAAGAAAGTAGTTTTTGATTCAGTTCGGAATTTACTCCTGGCTGTCCAAGTAAGCTCTGTGGTAAACATCATGCTTTAATATTAGTTCACCAAAAATAATCAATTTCACTTTAAAATATAACGAGATACGCGTCGTTTTTGCTTTTGATCATAGAATTAATTTTGTTTAGATAAGCATATGTTATAAGGATATAAAATTCCGCATGTTTCATATAGTAACTGCTTTTCAGGATAAAAAGGTTGTCGACGAGTCACCTATAGTGATGATGAAGGTCATCAAGAACGAGGTTGAAATTGAAGGGATGAAAAATGCACATGTAAGAAACAATTTCATATGTAATTATTAAATATGTATAACACAGTGTGTAAAAAATCCTTCATAATTAATAGGATCACATAAAATTTACATATGCTGTAAGTAAGTAATATATTAACTGATATTCATGATGCTAGAAAAACACGTAGGTTCAAGAAGTCTTGATAGAAATGAATAAAAACCCTATAACCCGAGCTCCTTTCGAAAAGTGGACATTTCTTTTTCAGGGGAAAACTGG